CTAATTGACAGGCCCCAGTAAAAGGTCCACTTAATTTAATTTCCAACTCGACTTCGTTACTTAAGCTTGATTCACTTATCTTTAATTTGATAAAATGGAAAGGTTAAGAATAGAATAGTGAATTTGTTATGATATTTTTTGCATGATTTATAGCTAATCCAAGAGAGAACTTGACTAGCAAAAATGTAAACTAAATTTATTTTAAGTTTATTTATACTTTGTTTTAATTTTAAATAAAACTATGTAAGGAATTTCAACTCAAATTTTTTTATAAGTTTACTTAAATAGTTTAGATAAAAATTCTTAACTTAATAATATAGATATGTCTTAGTTGTTACTACGCTCATATCAATTTATGTAATTTAGAGCAAAACCTCGAGTGAATTTCATGGTAAGAAATTCAAAACTAACCAGATTTGAAATTTATAATTATTATTATTTTTTTAGCTTCAACTAAGCTAATCATTTTCATTCGAAAAAATATAAATTTGTAACTCGGATTAACTATTTTATACAGTTATCCATAATTTGATAAAATGATATCCTAAATGGTCTTAGGTTAAAATGGTAATAAGAAAAAATAATTAATTTTTAGATTGTTTTCATTTAATTTAAAACAATGCAAAATAAAGAAGATACTAATTATCGCAGATAAAAATAATAGAAAAGGTTAATACTTTTTTGATTCAAAACTCTTTCTGGTCTAGTTTTAAAATGAAATTTATGGAAACAAGAAGACAAAAAATAATACCAAGAAACTGAAGCGATAAGATATTATTTAATTAAAAACTTCATTCTCATCAAAAATATTCAAATTGGAATTAACAGTAGACTTGTTTCAAGCTCTCAAAATTAGGCATCCCTTTAAAAAACTTGCCAGACATGAATGAGAAGAAACAAAAGTAATTCGAAATATCAAACGTAAAGCTGTAAATGAAAAGTGGAAAATAAAGGTGAGTATTAGAGCTAGAAAAACCGCAGTAGCCGAGTGAGACGAAACAAGGAAAAGCAAAACAAAAAGAACCACAGCGGCCGAGAGGGCAAATCAGGGAAAAATGCCTTTCTTCGCGCCATGGAGAGGTGATAAAGAACTAATGTCTCTACCAAAGGTATCAACATTCATATGAACCTCCCCAATAACATCAGCTCATCTTGATAGAATCTTGTTTTATTCGTATGAATGGTGATTCTTTTTTAAAAAACATTAGCCCTTCACCACCTCTCCATAGCACGTGGAAATGCATTTTATCCTAATTTGCCCCTCTCAGCCACTGTGTTTTATTGTTCTGTTATTAATTGTTTTTCTCTTTTGGCTGCTATGGTTTTTCTAGGCTTGTATTTCCTCTTTATTTTTGCTATTTTTTATTGACAATATTACGTTTTATATTTCAAATCATTTTTGTTTCTTCTCAATCACATCTGGCAAAGTCTTGAAAATGGGCACCTATTTCTGAGTGCTCGATGCATGTCGAATGTTACTTTCAATTTTAATATTTTTAAGACGAATAAAGTTTTTGATCAAGTAAAAAAATAATGTCATAAGAAACATATATTTTTTAACAGCGTATTAAATGGAATTCAAAAACTCCATGATACATTCCAATGGTTTTGGATAGTCCTGGCAGGCTTAATGATCTCTTTCTTTCCCTTTCAGTTTCTTGAAATATATTTGTATTTTGTGTCCATTTCAGGAACTCTCCAGTATTACAATGCCTGTCGAGTTCAATGAGCCTTTGAGTTTTCTACAACGAATCTCGGAATACATGGAATATTCCTACCTATTGAACAAAGCATCTGAATGCGCCGATCCACTACAGCGACTGCAAGTGAGTCTCTCATTCATTCTCAGAAACATTAAAAACCGTTACATCGGGATTATTTCATACAACTTTCAATAAGTTGTTTTACAATGATTTATAATTCCGTTCAATCTGAGCTATGTAAAGAAAGATTATTTTGCTCGATAATATGATTTCACTTTGAGGAAGATTGTTTAGGCTAGAGAAATATTATTGTTTAATGTATCACACATTTTCTAAGACTGTACACTAAATACTAAAATAATATTATTTTATCATTTAAAAAAGAACTACTGTATTGAATGCATTGAGTAAGAAATTATACTCAAAATTTATTCTGCTTCTGTCTTTGTAGGAACATTGAAAAACGCTTTGGAAATGATTCTGGTAAAATAAACAATAAAATATGGTGTTATAATATGTATTAAAATTTGGTAATTGTAGTAATTTTATCACGATACCTTAGAGCAGTGATTCTCAACCTTTTTTGGGGGGTGGCACATTTTTAACGATTTCGAAATTTGACGGCACACAATGAAAAAAATTAGTTTAAGAGTTGTTTACTTACCCATAATACACTGTGTTAAATAGTTTGTGATAATAATTTTGAATGTGAAATAAAATAATGTGTACTGCAAAAGCACGTTTATTAAGGGATTAATTATTTCTTTCGACTAATTTTTTACTAGTTAGTAACAGTT